GCAGCTACTCAAATACAAGAATGTACTGTTCCATGTTGTCTGTCATTAGAAACTAGATATTTTAGGAGGGGTTATATTATAAATACAAGATGTATGGAGTTAGAAAGCATATCTAATGCTGTACTGAAGACTCAATAGCGAGGGAAGCAAACAGGCATTGAATATTTAGATCAAGACCTTTGGTAAGAAACTGCTGCCACGTTGTTAGAAAACTGCTTAAAAATCGTTGAAGAACTTCAACACCAACTACAAAACTGCCTGGTTTGGGGTACTAGTCATAACGTATGAATTGTATATCAAACTGTTTGTCAAGAAAGACCTTTTCAACCTTTCTGGAAAACAAAGGGAATGTGCGCTCAGAGTTGCACATGTTGGACCTAATTGCCTCCATAAGAGCGGATAAACGAAGATCAAATCATTTTTGGAAGGTAGGCGATCTTTCCCCTCTGGTCACTAACAAGGTAATGACGGGAAATCCTCAAACAGCAAAACAGAAATATCATGAGGGAAAAAGTATTTGCACATACGAGTGTGCCAAGTCCTGACATTTCTCTCCATAGCAGAGCAAGCGTGGAGCGAAACAGTCAACTCAATAAAGGGCTGCCAGTCCAGTGACAGTTATTTCAGAATTAAGGAATTAGTTGTTTTTTCTAAGTTAAAAAACAATGACGACAACTGGCTGGGCCATGATTTGTCATGCAGTCTTACGACTGCTTCATCAGTTTAGCTGTAATATTTTCTATGGAGGGGACACGTCAGCCATTCTGACACCACCCTGTAGTAGTACTATTTTAGCACGGGTTCAAACAGAAAACAATCAAACCGTTTAAAGCCTGAATCGTTCCGAAAAGGGAGGCCAAATAGAATGTGAAGCGATGCTCTACATGTTTCGGGCCGGCCTGAGCTGTAGAAGAGCCGGGTTCATACTTCTACTGAGGCCTGCTGCTGAGCAGAATGTGGGCCGCGTCTCACTTCAGTGCACATGTGGCATGCATTACTACATCAAGTTTGTTTGTTGCCGATTGCTGATTGCTGAATTGCTCATAGAATTTCCATAGAAAACTTTCTCTCCCTCTCATTTTGAAACAATCTGCAAGATGGTTTTTTTTTTAAATAAAAATATCACCTGCTGAATAATTCTTTTGTTTTTCTTTCAAGGCTCGACACCTTTTTCCTGTCAGTAGACTTTTATATGTCCCATCCCAAATTTCTCGAGGCATTATACTAGAATCAAGCTGTTAAACGGCATGTCTGAGTGACTATCATATGTATAATTTAATTTTCTATACGCAACACATTGCATTTTAGTCCCACCTTTTCATTTTCAAGGGTTGTATTCTCAAAGCTTTTTAACTCACTTTCTAAATGAAGTGTTTAATTTCTTTGCAAACTTTACATATCAATGGGATGAGAAATAACCCTTTTTAGACAAAAACAACAGACAATCATGTGTGTTATAAAAATAAAAAAAACAGAGCAGCAGTGTCTGCTTTAGATCACTAGAGGGCGCCATTGGTCTGTCCTCAGAGCAGCAGCTCACACAAACATGCCAAACATGTCTAGACAGCTCTTTCTTGGTTTAAAACAGCAGCGGTGTGGCACAGATTTTTGTACACATCTCAATTTGTTCTCACCGTGATACGAATCACAATCCAAGGTTTATAGGTCCATATGCTGAAAACTGATACTGGATCTGTACAAATATGATGTGAATACTTATCTGATGGAGCACAAAGCCAAAGGAGATTACAAACAAAAGAATGGAGATGATCTGAGATCAGTTGAGCTACAGTGACATACGACAGACCCACTAATAACATATTTGAATGACCTACATAGCTCACACTGAGCTACATTCCACAGGCGTTTATGGTATCTTTTCTTGCCTTTATACATTGTATAAAGGAATGTATACATTTGGTAAAACTAATTGCCCCGGGACACACTAGTCTAAAGACATTCATATCCCAGCGGCCTACATCACTTCATACTTCCTGTACGTGAGGACAGAAATACCTGCTCTCCATGAAAAGGGAAGCCCCCTTTTTCCAGGGATTGAGCTGCTCTCTCATAATTCATATCAAAGAGGATTACATGAGTGGGTGGATCAGGCCTCAGTGGAAAACATTTGCCTTGTCATAAAGGATGTGTAATATTTTCATTCCACAGGCCAGGCTGATGAATTCAGGAAATTTGGGGTTCACAGATCCAAACACAAGGTACTGCTGGAAAGTGGAACGCCCCTGTCCGTCTGTCACACGCTGACTGAATTGCTTTAAGAGCTTTAAGACAAATGTCTGTCATACTAATGTAAAATAGAGCCATCAAAAATAGTAAATGGAGCAGACTGTGCACCAACCCGCTTGTCATAATTAGGAGTTCCTCAGAGGCTGGAGAGACTGTGATGCAACCAACCAGAGTTAAACTCTTCCTGGCTCTATATCTGGGACTAAAGTCTGTGTAAAGGAGTTGAACCGTCTCCCTGGACCTGGTTTAAGGACACACGCCCATGCAGATGTTGGTTTGTTAGCTGGAGTCGGTGTGTTGCTCGGGGCTTTTTGTCAGATAGCACGTGTTGTTGTTTGTGGCCCCGCTCTTAACAGAACACTCTGAGCTTTTTCTCGGTTGGCTCGAATCAGGTAGGTGAACATGTGCAGGGATTTCTGTCTGGGTCACTGAGCGGTGGTCTGTTCAGCATTCACCAGTCAAGTGTGGGGGTTTTTTAAAAACTGGATACAGTGTTCCTTTAGGAACTAAAATCCCGACGAGCAAACATAACAGAAGAAAGATTTTCTTTCTAATAATTCGTCATATTTCTCTAAAACCTATTCTTTTGTTTTCCAAACTGCTGACTGTTAAAAGAAAAAGCTTTCATTCTTATGCCGTAACAGTAAGAATGTACTCACGTGCACGGCTGCAATAAAAGCATCCCAAGTTTTCTTCGCCCAAGAAAAATGTTATTATTATTTCACCAGGCATCAAATGTTCGTCTCACTTTTCTACAAAAAGAAAGGGTTTGAAACGCCTGTTAGGCTCACGGAAACAGAACGACTTTGTGACAAGGGCTGCTTTGCACTGCTACTGGGTTCTGAAGGGAAAAGATTCCGCACAAAAGAAGGAAACAGACAGAGGCAGCTGAGACATGTCTGACATAATCGTATCTGGGCTGTGACTGGTGTGAGGGATGCTCCTGCCTTACACTATACAGGCTTTGATTTGTCCGGAACACTCCAGAGGCCTTTGGATGAGATGTGAGCCACACTGGGAACAGATCCTGAATCACACAGGTGACCCCCCTGTATTCCATACCTTACCATGAATACCAAGCAGTTCTGAAAGCAATTTGTCACTGACACGCTTAATCAATGCTGCAAGTAGTCTGGGTCCTCAAAGCCATATAAAAAAAGGAGCATAAAAGTAGCCAGAACCTATACATTCCTATAAGCTACATTAAAGAAGCTTAAATCAGAGACCATCCATTCTACATGACTGACCTGAGGATCTGAATCTTTTGGTTCCATGCCATTTATGTGTAGTCAGTGTGTAACATGGAGGAATCAACCAGTGACGCATCAGTTTTATTATACTAAACTAATCAAAATCCTTTCACCATATTCTAATGTCTTTTGTTTCTCATCTCTTGTCTGCTTCTGTCATGGCAGCAGCCTAATTTCCAGCTCTGCTCCCTGTGGGAATCTGGTCACTGGTGTGCTCTAAACATCACAGTTCAATTTGTTACATGTCGTTGCACTAGAATCTGCTTTGCAAACTAGCACTTAGAAATATTCTACCTAGATTTTGGCTGCTGAAATATGCTTAATACCTCACTGAATAGAAACCCTAGGTGTCATAAACTCTACTGAAATGTGCTGCGATGTGACAGATACAATGATCCTATCAAATGTGGGTGGTATCCTGAAAAAAGAAAACAAGACTTGAATTTCCTGGCATGCATGGTACACAGAGGCATCGCCCTGTTCCAGTCGGCCAGCATATTTCCAACAGGAAGTTTTTCTTTGTTGTTTCTCTAAAACAGAGCCAAATCCTTTCCCAGAAAGGTCTCCACCACAACAGACCACAATAGTAAAGATTGGCAGTTCGTTTATTTTTGTATTATTATTTCTATTTTTTAACAAAAAAAAACATCCAGAGGGTGGTCCCGGGTCATTTCTCAGTTATCATCCCCACATAGGTGTTCCAGTTGTTCTACAGTGTGGGATATTCGTGGCCCAGGATGGGGCAAAGACTGCTCCCATCCTGCCTTTTAAAAAAAAGACGGAAGTTGGTCTGAAATGAATGCTGCTCATATGCCATGAGGAGGAAGGTTTATTTTATGTCTACAAGGCCTCGCACAAACAATAACGGCTTGAATTTATGAGTCCCAGTAGTTCCAGACTAACCTGCACAGTATTGTATGGCGAACGATCCCATGGGACGCGGTCAAACAGAAAAGGCTAGATCAAGGAGCACATTCCGTACTCTGTGTTTTACTGCAGGACAAAGGTGGATATATAAAGATCAAATTAATGTGAGAAAAAGTCAGAACAAGATGGGTGGATTCAAACAACGCCTGAAGCATCTCCAGATAGGAGGGCTAAATATAGCTCTTCCTGGAAACAGGATGACCTTTCTGTCTGACTATAAACACAGTTTCAAAGGTGGGTTTTAGGATTTCCTTTAAAAGCTGCTTCTGTTTTTTTTCTCCAAAGAAGCATTATTTAAGGCTCAAACTTATCTGTAGTTAGGATTAGGGTTATAGGATACATGCAAAACAATGCATAGCCCAGAAAGCCCTGGATTGCTGCAGGCTGTGTAATGGGCACTGGGAGATGTTCCAGCAGTGTGACATGGGAAACAAAGTCACCTCTTTGTTTACACAACGTAAACAAAAGGCTGAAGAGCTCAAATGTTGCAAACATTTAGGTTCCTCAGAGGCACCCTCTGTAAGAGATGTGAAATGTTTAAAACCATAACTGTTTTAGCAACCAGGTAGTCGTTACCTCCAGCCTGCAATGATTCTCTCTGTAGAAAATCAAAATAACAATAAAAAAAACTGATTGTCATCATGAGTTAGATGTGAATGCAGGGAGCTTGTGGGACAAACCGGCCTTTTAGCCCAGGGCACCATGAGCACCACGCCTGCTTTGAGAGATTTACATATTTCAACTTCCTTGGTCCAGAACACAGCAAAATGTTTGTGCAGAATGCAAAACCTTTTACAACTTGGGAAAAACTACTGGATGAGCGACAGTTTTCGGCTAAACACGGTCCTCAGCTGGGCAAAGGACTGTGTGAGCAGAAGACACTGCAATTCACCTGCACTTTAGTCTTATCTGGACAATGAAATCAGCCACCCAAAGACAGAGCGATCCACAAATGGAAAGCTTAGCTTGGTGTGCAGAGGCACTACAATGAAACGGAAAAAGAGAGGACAACATGACCTCATAACTGGCTGCAAAATTGTGTGGTAGAACTTAGCAGCCAGCGCTCAAACACAAGAAACTGTTGACTGGCAAAAGTGAAATAACATCAGCATACATCATCCCAGATTGTTCATCAGTTCAAACAGAAAAGGGATCTTTTTGTCATTATTAATGTATTTTCAGTCATCTATATTAATAATTAAAAAAGATCTATTGAAAATACTTCCGTATTTGAAATAATGGTAGAACTGAAACTCAACTTAGTTTATTGGGTAGAGTGCTTTATCTTTATGGGGTAAACAGGACACAGGTCTTCCAAATGTGGTGGTGCCTCTACACCATTAAGCGGCTGTAAACCATTAACTTTACGTCTATAAACTCGTCGCTCACATTAAATTTTGACAGATTACACACTGGATCTGAAACATTTCCTCTTTACTATCTGATTTCACAAGATGATAGCATTCCCTGAGCTCAGTGTGTATCACGATAACATGACAACCTGTATCATAATAAAATATAACCGACAATACAGCAGCTCTATTTTGTTACACTAGTCTACATCTCTACTCATATGAATTGATTTTGGACACGGAAATTCACCCGCATGCCTTTTTTTTTTTTTCCAAGAGTACTCAATAATGCTTCATCATTATGCAATGAGAAAGCATCAAGGAAACCGCCTGAAAGCTCACAGTGCACGGCAGGCTGAATGGGGAAAAACCTGACTAATATTTTCGATCTAATCCATTTGGGATAATCTCAGATCACGTGTTGATCGAGCCCAGCGACAGAATCAGGTTTTTACCGACTAACTTTAGCAACTGCGGTTATTAGTCAGAATCAGACAAATGTGTGTTTGTTTTTAGTGGTCTTTATTCGGGCTATGTAGGTGGCGCATTTCTAACTAATGGGAAAATCTGGATTTCTATACACCACCTGGTAAAAGAGAGCAGTCTGAACAGCACTATGTGGGCTGCACTGATGGCAGAGTCGTCTAACGCTACATGGAACTGCATGAAAACACAGAGGGCCAGGCAGGATCATTCTGTAGTGCTCAGCCTTTTCCCTTTTTTCTGACAGTTCGGATTGACGGGACCCAAAAGAAAATGTCAGAGTCCTGTCTCTTCTGGCTATATTCTGGGAAGTGACCCCTGACACCAACTGTACGCTTTAAAGCACACAAACATTCAAAGTCAGTTTAAATTCAGGACACAGCTCGGCACCGGGGTCCTTGCAGCGTCGGGAGGCTGAACATGTTCAAAATCCAGATGAACTGCAGGGCTTTGATTAAAGGGGGGGGTTTCAGGAGTTTCTGTAAATATCGGGCTGTGATATGCTTCGATCAGATGGTTTAAACTAATTTATTTCCTGATTTTTTACAAAGACCTAAAAACAGACTTTCTGTATGTTTGTTTGTTTCCTGCTTTTGGGTAGAAGAATCTGCATTCGGTTCAGGTTTCAGAGGGGGGCCCCCTTGTGTGGGGCCTGAATTAAATTCTAACTTCAAGCCAGTCATGCGAGCATGAACACTTTATGGCTTCTTTCCCCAATTAAGCAGGCTTGCAAGTCTTAAACAGAATGATAAAGTCTGGGCCTGGGGGTTAGAGCTACCGTTTCTCCGCTCCATTAATAACATAATGAGGAGAGCCCAAAGTGGCCAACACAATCACTTAAGACCCTTAATGGTTAAGGGTCCATGGAGCAGACGTGCTATCTTCAGCACACGGTCACTTATGATAATATCCAGAGGAACTTGATGTTAGGGACTCTGCCATCCGACTGTATTCTTATAACCAAACATCCCACAGACAGATTTCCGTTGCATTGTTTTCTTCATTTTCAGAAACCCATACGTTTTTTTTCTTTTTTTAACATCACATCATAGAAAACTTTAGTTGATAAGTGGCCTGAAATCAAATATCTTAGTAATAGCGTACATTAGCCTGTAATTGCTTTCCCGGAAACTAATCTAAGCAGTAGACTAAAAATCAACTTGAGTAGGATCTTTGTTAGTGGAGGCAATCTTTATTGTGGATTGTAAGTTTCTCCATTACACTCCCCTCCACGAGGGAAAAATGGAAAATGCAACCACTGCAAGGTTGTGCCATTTTGAGAAAATTACAACAACTGGCACAAGAGAAGCAAATCTCCCAGAAGCATAACCGTATTACTATAAATGGTGATAAAATTTGATCATTGCACATAACTTCAGCTGTCACAGAGGCAATGCTTCAGAGTCAACTTTGTGATAAACAATATCAGCAACAATTGAAAAAACCTTGACTCTAATTATACATACAGTTGTTCAAATATGTCCACGGCTGGCAGAGGTTTACCAAGGTCTTACCTCTGTTTTTTTTGGAGCGCACAAAGTGGTGGAGTGACTTAGCGGAGCAATTACCAGAGCAACCTTACAATAGGAAAACAGTTTAGAATGAATACAATCTAAACTAGAATGTTTCCAGTGATAACAAAAGCAACCAAGGTTAATTCAGAACTGGAAACGCATAGAAATGGCACAACATAGTGCAAGTCTTCAGTGAAATTGGGTCAATTTAAAGAGGAGATAAGAGGTGACTAAAAACATACCCATTCACTAATAGTAATCGGGTGTAATCGGACACCCCAGGGTGTAACAAGACCATGACTTAATAACACCACGCCACAAAAGTGAGAATATGACCCAGTGGTCTGCAATTTCTACTCTGACCTCCGTTGCCATGAAGATATTCATGTCCCTGAACTTCTGAAGGCAGGCTGTACTTCCATTAATCCTTATTTGAAGCCAAACACATTCCCAAATGAGCACAGCGCCTGCTCAACAGGCACTCAACTCCTCGGTGAGATGGCCGTCCTGGTTTGGACAGCTCATAGACAGCTCGGCTCCTCACACATCATTGACCAAACCTGTGTTTCAACATCCTTTTGTTGCCATGAGCATACTCCATCTTGAATGACCACTTCAATTGTACTTCACGGCTACATTAATGCTCGTCGACAACAGGCTCTGAGCGTGCCAAAAAGCAGCACAATCACAGGTGAAATCCAGTCACAAAACCACATCATCACAGATATCAAACAAAAGATAACTGCCAAACATTGTTCATAGAAACACTTCAAAATCCTGTATTAATTGAATAGTTCGTGTCTGATGCTAATTGTTATTTATTATTATTCTTACACAAACTGAGCTGTAAAAGCAAAACCAAATATTCCCACCATGGGCTGTCAGCTGAATTAAAGATCAAGTGAAAACAACAAGACTTGCCTAGAGCCAGTTCCTATGATAGGGACTATCATTTATGCCTGTGTTATCAACACCTTTTCCCATATCAATACTATTGCCACGAACTAGCACAAGGACCAGCCATCAGAGAAGGAACAGACAGGGTTTATTCATCAGTGTCCATCTAAAAACAACGAGAAAAGAAACTTCTAGTGTCCTCCCAGCACACACACACACACACACACACACACAGTGGCATATACAGAGCAGCAGGCCCTGTTTTGGATCAAACAAAGGGAACGTAGCATTTTGCCGTTTTTCTTACCGTGTACAGCCCGATTCTGCACAAGGCGAGGTAGAGCTGCATGTGCTCCGACATTGTGCTCAACTACAAGCGTAACCCCCGGCAACAAACAACCCAAGCCTCTGGAGTAAATGAGTGGATGGAGGAGGATCAACAACATGAGTCCAGCCCTTCAGTGTCTAACAGTCAGCTGTCAACAGCCTCCGGTTCATTTTGAAGCAGAAATCTACAGCTGGGCTTTGTCAATGAGCACGACCCCGTGTTCACTCCCACATATTCCTGCACAGAAAGGTTTTCTTTTTGTAAATACAACAACAAGGATCAGCAGACAGAGACGAGCTTAAGATTGTGAGGATCTCTCTCCACAGAGATTAAGGGCTCACTGACAACTAGAGATCCAGAATAAGACTGAAAATTGGATTAGTCACCATTACACACCCACACACTGTGTCTGTAGTGTATACGCAGGTATGAAAACCAATGCTTTCTGCATGGAGGAAGACGGAAGCATTGACCACTTGAGCCCGTGGCGGTCATAGGGATTTCAATAGATGTTGTTGGACGTTTTGTTGGATGTCTGCCTGAGAACTGTGAGTCATGTTCAACCTGCTTGTTTGTCATCTCTGCGGTTTAGTGACAGTAGTGGTCACCACCTGCCGATATAATGCAGTTAGAAGGTTTCATATTCAAGTAATTCGACTGTATAAATAACACACACCCAGGAAAATCCTAACCCATTTTATGGATGAATTCAATTCTAAGCTTTAGCAGATTTGTTTCCAATTGTCTCTCAGCTGAGAGAAACCATTAATGCTTTGTATTCTTAGTGCATCGCAGTACAGAAGTGGACACTGACCAAGTGTTGAATGCTATTATACACATTCATAATGTGTATTGTAAAATAGAGCAAATAAACTAAATGTTCTGTCTTTTGAAAGAAAGTAGTGGTCTCCTTTTCCACTACAGATCCAAGAGAAACAGCTCCGATTTGTTGAATAATGTACCGGGTATTGTTTTGTACTCCACTTTATCCACATGAAGAGAGTCCTGAAGCCTGTGCATGTGCACGACGCTGTTCTTTTGCCCACACTGAAAACAAGTAGCAGCGGAATTCCTCAACAGATCCGACTAATTTGTCTCAAGCCAAGAAAAATGAAGTGCTGTCCTCACAAGCCTTCCTGCAGGCAACCAGGTCCCCCCTCCCTGCTGGGAGAGGTGCGGGCCGGTTTGTCCATCGTCTCTCAGAATGCCAGGCCTCCCACTGAGAGAGTGCTACTCCCAGTGCAAAGTCAGAGTGAAAGAAAAAGGGCTGCAGTGAGGAAGGAAGCAATAATGACGATCACTCAGTCAGAGGCATTAAGGAACTGGATGCACTAAACCTAATTGTGTAGCACTAAACCTCTGCAATGAATGGTTGGCACTTTGCAGATATAATAATGTCATTTTTCAGCTCATGTTAAATGTTTTCTAATCTACTATAGACATGTACTACTCTTTAAAAAGAAAAAAAGAGGGGGGGCTGGCTATGATGATTTATGTTACAGTTCTTGGGTTTCTTTTGCTCATACATGACAGTAATGTGAACACCAGTTTATTTACATATGCATGTTATTCTTATAGAGAACCAAAAAGCAACAAATCTCTGGGACATATTTTCCTTTATGGAACGTTGAGTCCAATGCTATGAGAAATGTGGGAAAATAAAGTAAGGAAACAGCTATGAGAATTGAACAATAACAGCTCACCACCGCCTCTTTAATGGTCCGTGAACTTACACGGATGTCAATATAAAAAAAAAAAACGTAGAGTGCCAGTGTTCAATCCAAAGCCTCGTAAAGCCCCATTACTGTAAACAGCAACGCTGATGAGGCTCCAGCTCAAGATGCTGGCTAGAAAACACTTGACAGGCAATGAAATCACTGTGCTGGACCAGTCGGTGGATGCAGAGACTGTAGCACATTGTGGCGCGGTGAAAGGCACGACTGGGTTTGCAGAGCGCCGCTGTGCTCTGAATAGTATTCTCAGAGCTGGGTATGCACTTTGTGAGAAGGCTGGTTAGCAGAACGCTAGACGCTCTCGTTCCAAGCTGTGTAAAGCCGCTTTTGTCCGAGGATTGCGTCAACGATTCAACCTTTATCTAACCATCAATAAAGAGTATACACACATGCAGCTGAAATATCTTACGTGTAGTCAATAGGCAATCTTTGTTTGCTTGTGAAAAGGATCTGGCAGAGCTCTCTGCCTGTATCAGCGAGGCACGTCACACGCTCAGGTGGAGGACGCTCAGAGGAAAAAGTCACATCAGCCCTGCAGCACACCTGCGACTGGCTTATCCGTCTGCTGCCAAGCATCCTTCCTCCTCCCCATGTGTTATGGCAGTAAGATGTAAATCTGCCATGGCCTGCTGTGTGTCCTTGAGCGGGACACTCGCTCCGAATTACAGGTGAGGAGCCAGAATTTAGGCAGCCTGCTCTTCATTCAAGCCCTTCGTGCTATGTCAGTGTTTCAGCTCGTTTGACGTCTTATCAAACACGATGTCAAATCAAAATCAGGCCATACAGTACATCAAAGGCTGGGGGTCAATGGCGCCTCCAAGGACAGCCAGGAAACTTTAGTCTGCCGAGGCCATGACTATTGTTCAAAGCAGCTTAGCACCTCACACTGAATGAAATTGCACAATTCCAATGAAAGTATGGAAACGGGAACACGTGTCACAATCCTATCTCAAGGGTGCTCATTTCTGCTGAATAGCTTCGGTCTGTATTATCGGCATTGCACCAGAACGCCTGTCGGGCTCTAAAAGAGGTCTAAGAGTTGAGAAACTTGGCAGGTCAAAGCCGACGTCCTTTCAACGCCCACGTCTCGATCCGGTGTGTTTACATGAAATACAGAAAGGATGGAGGAGTGCAGTGTGAAAGCATGAGGGACAGGGCACACGTGGCCTTACAGTGGTAGAGTTCACATCTCTTATTATCACATGTGTTCGTTACTCAGGCACCCAGCTACTGTAATTCCACTCCAAAAGTCCCATATTCACCACAGCCAAGTTCACCTGCATGAGCTGAGAATACGCCCACATATTTATTGCCAGAGGCCCCAGAATCTCCAACACGCAGGGGCTGCCCCCTGATGGCCAACGTTTCATGGCTCAGTTAACCGTGGCGTGTTGGACAAGTCGGCAGTTTGCCGTAAAAGCACAGCACATACTCGTTTAGAAGTTTAAGGAAGAAATGCCGTAAGCTTCTCCCTCGCTTCCATTCACATCCTTCTTAGCCGTCACCTGGCTCCTGGCTCATTGAATTAGCTGCATATGATCATTATCTCATGGGCTCATTATGCAGTGCGCAGACACAAAGCCTGCCTCTCTTTGCTGGAAGCAGAACGCCACAGAAGGGCTATGCCACGCCAGCAGGAAGTCTCGTTTTGTTAAAACGTTACCGTTTTGGGGGAAAAATCTTTGCTTTGCTGCCGTTTCACAAAAAGGGCCAGTTATAATCTAAACTAAACAAGGGAAAAAGGTTTGAACATTAGCCTCCCCTATAACTAGTCAAACATTATTCATTCACTTGCATCGTTTCACCACAGCAATGTGTATTATAAATGGGTTAGAGGGTTTCACGTCTTGCCAACAAATACGACCCAACAAACCATGGTCAAATCCAAAAAGCATTTAACAACAGACACTATCAAATCTGTACATGGAAATTCCGTTAGGTCACAGAAGTGTTGTTCCTGTCTCTGGTCCCCAGCGTTAGGCACACAAAGAAAGAGGGGGGCTGGTTTATTAGCAGATGAGGCTCTGTTAGGTTTTCCCATCACTACCATGGCTTGAAGCCAATGTCTGGCTGGTGTTGGTTCTGAGCCTTTTGCATTGCTCGACTTTCCATAACAACCTGTCTGGATGTTCAGACAGAATACATGTTTTTCTGCTCAGTATCTCACATCTGCCTCTCAAAAACGCAGGTATGACTTTGAGGGTCCTCTTCCTAATTTGGAGGAGAAATGTATAGCTCTACATGAAAAGCGAACACTGTGTAAATGTGGATTAAAAGTCTACAGGCTGCGACTTAAACCACTAATCGCATCAACGAGAACAAACGATGCATAAAGCATAAACAAAATAACCCTGTTTGCATGTATACGTTCACATTTCATTCAGCCATGGTTGTGACCTCACAGAGTGTCCTGCTTTTTTTCAGTCCCCATCTTGCCTGAGTCTCCAGCAGGTCAGAGCACATACATAGTACAGCTGTAATTTGGTAAGGCTTTACCATGGCAACAGCCAGAACCAAATTCCTCCCTGCGTGCTGTAGTTTTGAATGCTGCTTTTTAACACTTTGCTGACCGTGCAGAAGTTCGACCCCTTCAGCATGCCCCCGCATCCCTGCTGAAAGAGAATCCACCAGATCAGATCTCAGCTACTGTCATAACTCAAGCCATAGTTATTACCGAGTAATGCGCAATAATAACCTCCTTCAAATCCACCGGATCCCCGCTTCCTCTTAAGAACAAACCTGATGGAGAGCCACACCTAAAAGCAGGAACAGAGCTGGAGGTTATCATTATTTATTAAAGGCTTATCCACATGCTCTCTCTCTGATCCGTGGGAATCAGAGAGACATAGCTGTGTTCCAAGTTTTGCACCACGTCTCCAGTGCTGCACAGCAGGAAAGGAGGCCCTGCGCCTATTGAGTGGCTGACCTCAGGGGACAGCCGAGTGCTCTGCTCAAACAGTCCAGTTACAGCTGTGCTCTCCACAGAAAAAACACACCAAAAAAAAAACCTGTCACAAAGAATCTCGAGTCTCTCAAATATGTCAACTTTAAAATGCTATGAGCTTTCAATTCACAAACACAGATTTGACATGCTGTGTACGGGGTTATTCTTCAAATATGATCAAATAATTGCAAATAAACTAATCTGTTTCGACTTGCCCTCAAATGATGGGCAGAGACACTCAGGTGGGCGTGCTGCACTTTCCACAGCAGGCAGATAAACAGGGGCCAGAATGGTAAAACTGCTTACGTTCACTTCGTGCCGCACGTTTTTCACAGCGTCTGCTTTTAGGTTTACCTTTCGGCGTCAACTATTTTCCATCCAAGTCTGACAGAGTTTACAGAATAACTCAAGTTAGGTATGAATTTATAACCTTTGCTCTCCAAAAGAGTGGCTCCTCTCACATAGGAATCCACAAACGGCCCCCTCGTGCAGCGGTTAACGGATAGGACTTTGTCATTCTGACTCAAGAAATGTCCCAGGGAAGGCAAAGTTCAAAGTTTTCCTTAGGTCTCACATCTTGGGAGGCCCATCTATAAACAAGCCGATAACACTGGGTGGGCAAGTTCCTCTGAGCTTCACAATGTCACACTGTCCCCATCCTCAGATGACAGCCCGGCGTCTGTATACAACTTTTTTGCTCTGGCTTTCTAAACCCCCAGGGAATGCCTCCGGTTACAGCTTCCTCCCTATTGTTGCTCCGTTTCAGCAGCACCCATTCCATCTCAAATGTGGGCAAAGGCCCAAAACAAAAAGAAAAGAAACCCAATCTCTCGACCTAAAGCTGTTTCACTGCCTTGACCTGAAATACATCTTCTTCTGGTCTGTGTTGGGTCACAAAAAAGGGGTCTAGCGTCTTAAACCAGTGCCGTGACACGTCGACTCCACAAAACACGTGGAAAATACCCAGCTTGGTTGCACGCCACGGGTGTTGACACTCAAAAGAGTGTGTGGATATGCAACAACTTCCCTCAAGTTTCCCCATACAGGGCTCTGGGTCAACCAGTTAGACTCCACCGATGAGGGGGGAGAGCTCCGGGCTTCACCTGACACGTTAGCATGACCCCCGGGGGGCTGGACCCGAGGCTTACCGCAGGGGGGGAAAGTCCCCAAAGGTAGCAGCCAACACCTAAGGAGTTACGACAACACACCTGGCACCGGTAATGACCAGGAGCTGAGGTGCACGAGAGAGCGCGCGAGCCTCCAACCCACAGCTCGGGGCTGGCAGTGGGACCCACCGCTGCATGGGGGCAGCTTTACTCACCAGATAATCCATGTACTACCGCTGGCCAGCCACAGCAGCACGAACTAGCTTCGTAATATTCCCGTTTTTGCTTGAATGAGAGCGAAAATGTGTAGTTTTTGTTTTTTTAGCAGACTTCGCTTTGTGTCCCCCGCCTCCAGTCAGCCGCGGTTGGATAAGCTACAAAACAACAAAAAAAAAAAGACAAGAAAAAAAAACAAGCTCTGTCTTGGGTTTAAAAGCAAGAATTTCCTCCGACTTCTTCGCTCGCGAGCCAAGTTCCAGCACGGCGGAGACGAGCTTCGTTTACGGCCAGGGGCACCGAGGCAATGGTGGGCTGGTTTCTGGGGATAAACCGCTCGCCTTCCGCCGGCTGACTTCCAGTTTTATCACAAAATATCAGTTGAGTGTTTGGTTGAGGAAACTAATGAAGGCTTCCACGTTACGTCACGCACGTCGTTTTGCGCACGCAGCGTGGTCACATGACCAAACACATGGTGGCTATTTTCATGAGGGGGAGTCCTCCATGAAACGGTCTTTTCTGTTTTTTATCTTTATTTATTTCGTTTGTTTATTTTAATGTTTTTAAGTGAATATTGTTGTTGTTCGAACCCTCGAACATTGTGGTGGAGAGTACTCAATAATATCCATTAACATTATGTTAAAGCCTATTTACCCAGTTTTTGGATACAGTAAAACAGTGTGGAAGCATGATTGATCTTCATGCATGATAAACATATTTTTATTTATTTTTTCTGGTACAATCACTTATTGTGTTGTCTTCTCTAGACAATGTTTCTGTCAGAGAAACCATTAGATGAAAATCCAGACGAAGTGAAAACAGTTCATTTGACGAGGAGCCAAATCAAAGCTGAAACAACAGCTTTTCTTTTTCATATCCCACTAATTAGATGAAGAATTACAAGCCAAACATCGTCTTAGAAGATGCACACTGAACTCATTTTAGTTCCCCAGGGGACAGCACTCCTCTTCAATATTTCATGTCATGTTCTCTGAAGGCACTCGCTCTGAAATGAGTCAAGCAGAAGCTGAGCTGGGTGCCCTTCAAAGAGATCTGAAAGGTGTAGAAGGAACTAAATCAAATTATTGCATTTGAGCTCACATGCAGAAATTCAAAACCTGTCACTCGGGTTTGGGATAAGATGTGCAGCAGAGTGACCTCTGGTGGCCCGAGGAGACAGGGCCTGAGTGACCATAAGAAATGTATACAAATTTGATTACATACACATTTTTAAACTATCATATACCAAGTGATATTCTTTTACCATTTTAAAATAATCAAGATCATATATTGATTTATAATTTATTTGATTTGTAATTATACTATAAAATGGCATTTGTATCGATCTTGGAGGGTTGATTCAGTGACACTAAACTAAAATAACCACTAGGTGGCAGTATGTACTAAAACGACCAAATGCTGAAATCGATGCTTTCTGAGATGGGCTTTACTTCAGTCCATGTCAAGTAAAATACTGTAAGGTGCAAAGTTGATTCAGAATAAACAAGGTTAAGCATTTGATTTAGATTTTTTCCTATCTCATTAGGATATAGGCATAGATGCCCTTCTTTATCCTTTAGTTACACTAGGTTAGTTTAGAACCTCTGCTCTAAACAGAGAGTATTCACTGAGTGTAAGATATTAGGCTCAGTCAGTATGATGTCATCATTTTTAGAAGACATTCCTTTGAACTGATGAACCATCCAGCATCTGTTTCAGTCTTTTCAGAACAGATCAATGTCAAGTTGCTGGTTTTGAGAGTTTGAAAGGTCTGCTGGTATGAGTTTGGTAGTACTGTAAAATTCCATGGGGAAATAAGCAGAAAAAACGGTCATAGGAGACAAAATACTCAGGTTCAATGCATTGATATTTGAACAATAAGAAAGCTAGGGTCAAGAAAGTGATTTTTTTTTTAACATTATTATGATTTAAAAGATATATCAGAGGAATTGAAGGAACTGGACAGAACTGGAAATAACTAAAAGCTCAAACTCAACTCCAGTTGAGACTTGTAGACGTTTGATTAAGCCTTTTAAATACAGGAATGTTTTTGAAAGAAATCATTACAAATTCTATCTGTAATCAGGGAACTGACATAAGACACGTTCATACTGACATTGACAGATCATTTGCTGTCTTACAAATCCAGCCATTTGATCCCACGAATGAAAATAATCAATGGAAGAGTCTAATTTCAGTCTTATTTCACACGTTTAAAGGATAAAAACACATTACTGCCCTGCTGCCTACGACTCTAAAACCCTTTCTAACGAGTTCTTTTGTCTACTTTAAACTCTATTTTGTACTCCCTTTTCTTGTTATTGTGTTTGGACATGGTTGTTCATAGTTTTGTGATAGTGTCCTTCATTGTTCAGCAGAAATTGAACAGAAATCACATCCTTGAATCTTGAAAAGTGGCCTTGTCAGCATTAGCGTCCCACAATGACAATGACGTGGCCACCCAGGCAAAACCACAGCTGCTCTTCTCCCACCACGGCTCCTGTTTGGTGCGTAAACGCGCATCACATCGCGGAACGAGGCCATTAATCGCGGAAAGGGTTGGCCTGGGCCGTTTCTCAGCCGGTGGATTGATGCTGTCTGGGTGGACTGCAGCAGCACCTTGGCGCTCCGCCCTCGATTATTCAGCCTGTCTCTACGCACGGTCGCTGCGCAGCATTCGAAGCCGGGAGTGACCGACGGCGGAGAGCGGAGCGAGCGGCTGCAGAGGAGGTCACGCCAATACTGTGGAGAGGTGGGGGGGAGGCGGCAGAAAAATAAAAAACAAAACACGCCTCGGACTGCAGCCTCTGGGTCGAAACCGCCGCCGCGTCCTGCGCGACTCCGGGGTCCGAGCGCAGAGGGACACGAGAAGTTCCCACGCTGAGTTTTTGGAGTAGTTTGGGGGAGAGCTGACTGAGCTTGCGCTTCCGTCCTCCACCACCTCCACCTCCTCCTCCTCCGGTCAGCCAGCCAGCCGTAAGTGAGCCCGCTGTCCTGCCCTCGCATCCAGCTGTTGGGGGGGAATCATGGCGCTCAGAGCCAGGGCGCTGTACGACTTCAACTCCGAGAACCCGGGGGAGGTGTCCGTGAGGGAGAACGAGGTCGTAACTTTGTACAGCGAGCAGGACATCGAGGGCTGGTTGGAGGGCACCAACAGCCGAGGGGAGAGGGGGCTCTTCCCCGCCTCGTACGTGGAGGTCCTGAAGAACGACGCCGCCTCCACGCTCAACAACAACAACAGCAGCACATCTGGGGACGCGTACAAGGACTCCCGCTACGCCAACGTCCCGTCGGGGGGGTTTGACGGCTCTTCTCAGCCCAAAGTTGAAAACTCTGGCAGACCGCCTCCTCCGGGCTTGAATGCTTTCTCAGTTCCTCTCCAGCAGCCGCAGCTGCAGAGCGGCTTCCAGCAGGCCAGCCAGAGCGACGACGACTGGGACGACGACTGGGACGACAGCTCCACCGTGGCCGACGAGCCCGGGACGGTGGGGGGACGCTACCAGGACTTCGAGGGCAACGGGCCCTCCAAGTACCGGGTTTCCACGGCCTCGGCGGCCCGAGGGCAGGCGCAGCAGGCCAAGAGCTCGGCCACCGTCAGCAGGAACCTCAACAGGTTCTCCACCTTCGTGAAGTCGGGCGGGGAGGCCTTCGTGCTCGGGGAGGCGTCGGGCTTCGTGAAGGACGGGGACAAGATCTGCGTGGTGGTGGGCCAGCACGGCCCCGAGTGGCAGGAGAACCCGTACCCCTTCACCTGCGCCATCGACGACCCCACCAAACAGACCAAGTTCAAGGGCATGAAGAGCTACATCTCCTACAAGCTGACCCCCACGCACACGCAGAACCCGGTCAACCGGAGGTACAAGCACTTCGACTGGCTGTACGCCCGGCTGGCCGAGAAGTTCCCCGTCATCTCGGTGCCCCACATCCCGGAGAAGCAGGCCACGGGGCGCTTCGAGGAGGACTTCATCTCCAAGAGGAGGAAAGGCCTCATGTGGTGGATGAACCACATGACCAGCCACCCGGTGCTGTCCAGGTGTGACGTCTTCCAGCACTTCCTGACCTGCAACAGCGCCGACGAGAAGGCCTGGAAGCAGGGCAAGCGGAAGGCCGAGAAGGACGACATGGTGGGCGCCAACTTCTTCCTCACCATCAGCCCCCCGCCGGCTCCGCTGGACTTCCAAGAGGTGGAGAGCAAAATAGACGGATTCAAGGCCTTCACCAAGAGGATGGACGACAGCACCCTGCAGCTCAACGCCACCGTCAACGAGTTCGCCCGCAAGCAGATCGCCGGCTTCAGGAAGGAGTACCAGAAAGTGGGGATGTCTTTTAAGGTGCTGAGCCAGGCCTTTGAGATGGACCAGCAGGCCTACTCTGCGGGGCTCAACCAGGCCATCTCCTTCACGGGAGACGCATACGAAGCCATCGGGGAGTTTTACGCGGAGCAGCCCGGCAAGGATCTTGACCCCATCATGGATTTGTTAGCTCTTTACCAAGGGCACCTGGCAAATTACCCGGACATCATCCATGTCCAGAAAGGTAAACTAACAAAACTTGAGATATTTTTTCGAAATGTTGAGCTCCCTAATTTTATCGTTTCGTTTCAAGAGGCTTCGCTTGTTTAAAATTGATTTGCTTCCAATTTATTTTGTGGCTAATCTATACGGTTCAGTTTATTACATTTTTCTCTTGGACTGTTACTAAGTTATCACATATTACACAGATCCAGCTTAAATCACAAAACAAATATGAACTAATCAGCTAATATATATATATTTTTTTAAAGGTTTACCTCAGACTGAGTCACTCTCACAAAAAGGTAGTGGAGTGAGTTTAAGGAAGTGTGACTGGCGGCACACAGCCGCCAGCTTCCAATAAGACTTATGTCAATTTGTTAAACAAATAGAAGTGTTTGCCTTTGGCAACTGGTCGCTCCCACTGTTTGACCCACCTGCAGGGCGGCACCCATTCGTCTGCTCCTTTTTTTCTTTTTGCTTTGTGGTGAGGTATTGACACAGAGAGCGTCCTGCCTTACTCCAGCACCAAAACAAACCAACCCGGCGGGACAATCTCCGTCCTAAGCGAGCCGTCTTTGGGCTGGCAGGCCAGGGTGCCGGGCTGATCTGGGCCGGCCGCCTACACTGCCCTGACCCCCCGCTTGTTTTTGCTGTGTGGCAAAATGCCGCCGTTGTGCAAAAGGAACGGCATTGTCCAACGGTCCAGAGGGGCGTTCCCTGCCTTCCAGTTTGCAACAGTTTACTTCCTCTGTCTGAAATCTGAAAAAGGAACATTTTCTGTCTTACCAGTCTGAAAAAAACCCACAAGCACGGGTCATTCATCCACCAGATCGATGTGTGCCGGTCAGAGTAAATCTGATCTCTGTGAGGACCATTCCACGACCCAAAACGTGGCTGATTATCCAGTAACTGCTGTGGAAGAATTGAGGGATGATGTCTATCCTATTATTCATCCTTCTAAAAACAGCTGGATAAAACTGTAAGAAACTGTGACATCTGGTTAACGATTTAAAGCGGTAAAGTGGAAAAAAAACGGGAAAAACATCATTTGTGCTGCATTTCTCTGCAGTGGTTTAGGAACACCCAACTATTTATTTTAAGATACGTAATTGTAATATTTGACACAAATTCCACAGTCCATTTGGGTTAAGATTTGTTATAGGATCGGATCAACTGGGTTTAATACTCCAAAAAGACATCAGGTTAACTGTGCTTATTATTCCATTGAATTCAGCCGGGTCATTCCAAAGCTTGCTTATGAAGCTATTAGCATGTGACATGTTTCATCCTGTTTGTTCAGCTGGTCAGACAGTAAGTGGTGTGGGAGAGAATAATTGCAACATGGTTATCATGTTTGAACCGAGAGAGTTCATTATTTGTGGTGTGTCAAACAGTTATTCGCATTTGATTCTGCTAACAACTTGTTGGGTTGCGCTGGTGATGTGAACTGTGGGGTGTGAACTCTATTACACCCCAGTGTTTCTCCCCGTCTGATTAAAACTGCACAAACACACCCAGTAAATGCACATGGGGATCAAATCTCTATTTATTTTTTTCAAAAAGTTAGCGTTTTTTCAATAACGCCAACTTTTTGTAACTTTTTAAATGGCGAAGTCATTAAATGGCTTAGTTTGGTTGGCCTGTCCGTGTTGAGATTGCGAGGGGGGAAAAAAATTGTTTTAAGGCCCAAACAAACACGTTTCTGTTAGTGAGGAACGGTTTAATCTGACTGGTTGTGCTCTGGGCGTCATGGTGGTGTGCTGCTTAGCAGTGTGTAGCCTCTCAAAAAGAGGGTTCCTGTGTGGAGTTTTTTAATCGTCCGGGAACTCCATCCTCCACCCGTGGATTCTAAAGTCAATGTGCTATTGTGTTATTGTCCAATTTGACTCTGTGTTGGCTTCATGGACTGAGCGATGACCTGAACCTACCCAAGGTGGAATCCACCGCTTGCCCTCACTTCAGCTGGAACATAGACAGATGGGAGGAGCAGGCCGTTTGAAACCACGATGCGTTGATAGTGAGGACGCATTGAGCCGTGCTGTTGTCTGCTCAGACATCTGCACAGAAGAAATCACGCAACTTAAATCAGACCACTCCCTGTTCCTGCAGGTTAAACCTGACTGTCAGCTTTCTGATGATCCATATGCCCCAGAATACAGAAAATGCCGTCACGCCTTCGTTCTCATTTATAGCCTTTGATGGGAAACCGTGCTGCGTAGGACAGAGAACGTCATTACTTGGTCTGGATTCCTCCAAGCCTTGCAGTCTGAGGCCCTTCTAAAGCGCAGTGAAGCAGCTCGAGTAAAGCTTTGCGTTACGCCGGCGGCGGCGCCTGTGGACATCGGGCCCTGGTCCCTGCAGACACTGGGTCCTTTCACTCAACAATGGACTGGGCAGGGGAAATAGGACAGGCTGTGTTTAGGCTCCAGCGGGACACAAACTTCCCAGTCAGCTCAAATCAAGTTCGCCACGTAGGCCACGCACAACCCAAACAGGGTGACAAAGCCATTTGCACAGTCCGGGGCGATAAGCCCGGCCTGAATTCACAGATAAGAGATTTTGAAGACCTTGCTGCTGGCAAAATGTTAGGCCAGAAAAAAGTAAATAAGAAAAAAACACTCGCACACGCTTAATTAGAGCTACTTGAGGGATACTGAATCAGAAAATACATTGTTTTATATTTAGTTCTTAATTATTTTTGGCTGATCATGCCTTCTGCTGCCTTCTGTAAAGTTTATTCTTTACATTTGTGCGAATTTTCTCCCCTGGAGGATCCTTTAAGTGAGGAAGCCTGTACGAATCCATTCTATTTATAGGACAAAATACAGCAAAAAAGACAAATCGCTCTGTAGAGGGTAATAAACACAAGTGATGCCTCGTTGACGCTGACATGGAGTTAGTTTGGGAGCACGTGTGTGCATTTAAAAGGCATTTTTTACTTCTAGTTGTCCCAGCCTTTTGATTTCTCATGAACTACTTGGCCTTGTCTGCCTTTGCCCTCATCTAAGCCTCCCACAACACAGTTGGTTTCCTGGTTCCGCCCACAGGCCCATTTCAAGTGCCCACTCGAGTGCCCCCCCCCCCCGTTACAGTGTGATCTTTATTACCGTCTGCACCGGCTCGTGCACCTGACCGGAGATTAGGCCGCATCCTTTTCTCTCCTAACTTTGGGTCCCGGCAGCTGCTGTTGCTCTCTGTGGGGGGGAAAAAAAGGAAACGAGTAAAAGCAGCCGCAGGCAGCTGAAGGTGTCCACGTGTGCTGGGCAGGTCGGGCATCCGCCCCGGCCGGCAGTGAAACACGAGCGGAGGGAATTATTGATCCCAGCCATTAGTGTGCGGCTTCACGGGGACAGTGCGAGCGGGTGCTATCGATTTGCTTTGCTTTCAGCAAGGTCTTCGCACCCTTTTTATATTTACCTCAAACCGTTGTTGAGGACGAGGTGGCATCAGGGTGGGATTTATATCTCGTATTTTGAGTGGTGCAAAAAGAGGGTGGAGGGCTGTTGTGAAGGTCAGCGTGGTTTGGGACGGAAATAAACGCGAGCGTGTGTTTTGAACAGTGTTAAACCACGATTGTATCAAAATGTACTGCAGTGTGCATCGGTGAGAACATCAGGTATTTTCCAGGGACGTTTATGTGATCCTTAGAAGAAAATACCTGTTGATTCTGCTCTAGTTGTTGGCCTTGACAGTCTGTGCTAGTCTACGGTCTTCTTTAGATCTTCAGCTGTGAGATACCATTAGTCACTCCTGTCTGTGTGTCTGTCCGTAGATGATGTTTTTGTTTTCAAGCTGATGCTCAGACTAGTGCTTCCTAAAAGACTATGGCTTTTATGAAGGCTACTGACTGAGCCGCAGACTTAGAAGAACCCCCATGCTGCTAATTCCATCTTGTCTAAAGCCGGTAAGATGAATTCAAGCTCTTGGCCCAATTTTTTTTTTTTTTCCACCCACACTTTTAGCTCTCACAAAGTGATAAAGTAACGGCTGGCAAGCAAAGGGCAGCCCCAGTTTACAAGGATGTTAAATCTCCCTAATGAGTCTCCCCCCCACCTCCCCGCTCCGGCTGAAACGTCTGATAGACTGTGACAGTGGATCTAAAAGCCCCCCCCACCCCCCAACCCCTTGCTGCACAAGTGGACCAAAGAGGTAGCTCTGGCTCACGCTGGCCCCCGTGTTGCGTAACCAGGGATTGCGTAAGAGCCCGAACGTCAGTGCCCTCCCAGGATGACTTCATCACAGGCCGCCCGCCACCGTCTCTTCCTGTTCGGGGTTGACGACGGGCTACACTGTAAACCCCATTTGTTGTTGGTGGTGGTGCTGGGTCTAGCTTTTACCGGACAGAAATAGTTGTCCACATCACAATGGGGTTGAATGCAAAGACTTTAGATGCTGCGTGGATTCACATCGAGATCAGCGGGGATGCAATCTTTAGATCTGGGACTTTGTGAATCAGAAGCTTTGACTGTAAAAGATGGATAACCTTTTAATGATGCATTTACTTGTGTATATATATATATATATATATATATATATTTTTTTTACTGGTGTTCAACTGAATAGATTAAGTGATTTTAAGCTTAACAACCAAAAGTTCAATATGACCCATAATGTTGGATTTCTGCTGTTGTGACATTGTATAACTGGTAGTGACCACGAGAACTAGGTGGCCATTGCATGCCGTTGGACCGGGCTCGTTCAGATGGCCGTCAGAGCTTCCTGTCGGAGAGCCTGTTCAGTTCATCCAGAGTTGAGGGTGCAGCTGCTGCTGCTCCTCAGCTTTGGACTGAAGAGTTGAAATTGGTTTAAGCGTCAGATGAAGGTGTATTTCAGTCATGTCTGACCAAGATAATGCGTCGGGTAACTGGGAATTCTTCTAGGCCTCCCTGGGGAATGGACGGATAGCCTTAGCACTCAATCAGATCACAATCTCTCCACTCTGCTCTGCTCATTTGCCCCCAACGCCAACCGTTACAGGCAGATGAAGGCAAAGCTTTTATCTTCAGAAGACCAAAAGGGATAGGGTGAGGTGGAATAGCTGAGGGGGGCAGATAGGGATTGGGCCATGGAACGCCTCAGGTTTCAACTTTTTGAAGAATTAAATGCTAATATTAGTTTCTTTTTTAAAGAAATTGCATCTAGTGGTGATCTGTGGTGCTCCCGCTCTCTGGGATGATGTTATAGACACTTTTCTGTCCCTCCCGTTCTTCATAGAGAAGACAAGGAGTTAATGGGAAAGCTGGCACGGGAGTTCTTTTTCTCTGGAATGGCAGTATCTTCTTAGTGGGTTTTGCTGGCAGCATGGCTGTGAGGCGGACTTGCAGCAGCTGTGAAAACTCCGTGCCTCTGCACATTTACCGCTCGCTGACACCGTCTCCAGGCGGATCTTCCCCTCTATGGGGTCTCCATGGTAACAATACTTATTACACTATTCTGTCAGCGGGTTTTTGGAAGCGCAGGGAGCCGGGGACCTTTACGGACGAACACATTAGGGCTTTTTTCTCTCAGGTCGTCGGACAGCTGCGCTGCTTTCCGCTCCGTCTTTCGGCGCCTCCTGCTCCTCCTGCTGCTCTCTCTCTGCCTGCTTTCTGCCACTTTCAGGCTGCTCTGCATCAGCACCACCTTCAGAGGCCGAGGGAGAGCCAAGCCGAAGGTGTCCTCTGTACCTTGTTAGGCCGTAGTGTTGAGTGCTGCGGAAAAAAGGCGGTCGTAAAGCTCCCGTGTGCACTTTATGGGGAAGCTGAAAGGGTGGTGGGCTCGGTCACCAAGGCCCCCGCGGGCTCACATTTCAGGAAACAAGCCGGCCGAGTCTGAGTTTCAGGAGGACTGGTGACTCAGCACACAAAGACCAAAAAATACAAAAGTAAATACAGGAAGTCATGCTTCATGCCTTTCAGCCACAAATCTCACGTCCACACCTAAAATTACGTTTGTCCTTTGGCAAGTCATGCCTTGCAAGATGTTTTCATTGTCTTGCTTAATGCTTATTTCAAACACTTGTGCAAAGCCTAAAAAAAAACATCACATCCTTCTCTTACACGCCAACAGTGGTTATCTGGGTCCCTCGCCATTAACTAACAAGTCTAAGCAAACTAATGTTTAAACGAGAGCACACAGGAATTGTTATTATTTTCAGTATCAGTTTTTTTTTTTTTTTAACTGATAAAGTTCGTCACAAATGACTGATTTTGTTCTGGCAACAGAGAAAGAAAGAAAAGAAGAAGACAGGCGCCTGATAGAATCAACAAGTGGTCATGAAGGAGGGATTTAAAAGTCAGGCGGCCTTTACCGAAACGCTCACTGTTTCCCATACAGTAAGAGCAATTAACACCCCCCCCCTTCCCCCCCTTAAAAAAAACAACTTCCTCTATTTTGTGAACGAAACTTTCTGCCCATTGGACCCTTATTCTTTGACAGGGGGGAAGTCACAGGAAGTATAAAGTTATGTGAAGGACTTACAGTAGTTTCACATTCGGGTGCTTTCCAGCTTAACACTGACTGCTCAGAACATTTCCAGCCTCAGTCACCCACAAACCACTGCAGCTTCATCAGACGTGAGCCTCCGGTGTGTGTGTCGGCCGTCTCCCACCTGCCTGGAGAGCAAAGGTTTCAGTGTTTAGCCAGAACGGATGGAGGCTCATTCTGCACTTGGAGAGGTGTACGGCGGTTGGGGGTGCAAGTGTGCGTGTGAAGTTGCAAATGATTGTTTGGGTCCTGTGGGACCACAGAGGTCCACCACAGTGACGACAGCAGCACGTCGCTGCCGGCGCTCGACAGCTTTCAGCGGTAGTGCGACTGCGAAGAAAAATGGAAGGCAAAGTGACAACGGCCCATTTAAAACTTTCATTCAAATGAATCAGTTCGTAAACAATTCCAGTTTAGTGGAAAAAAAACAATCAAATAACCAACAGTGTTATGTGAAGGATCATATAAACCAATAATTCACTCATAATCGGACACCAAACATGAAAAGTGTTGGAGCTCAGACGTTTTGTTGCCCATAAAAGAATGATCTCATCTTGAATCTGAATCCAAGTAATGTTTGCTTTATGTTTTACAATTCGAAATTTGATTTACGAACATTTTAGAACAATTTGGCATTGATGTTGGTGTCAGACATGTTAAAAACATGAAAAAAGACGTTATTCCTTGCAGCTGGACACCTTAAAAATCAATATCTTTCCAAACATATGAAAAACGAGCATGGTGAACAATGTCTGATTATCTTGGTTTCACAATATTAAACCAAGAAGGCAAGTAAATGATCCTTTTCTTAGTAGTTATTATTGCCCTGGTTGGGGAGGAAATGATTTTCTAATGTCTCATTAGTACTGAATACATCTGAAATAGGACTGATTTTGATCTTAGATTGCATGTAATTATTCTAAATAAAAATGCTCCTCATCTTCCTAAAGATTGTGATAGAGACAGAGAGAGAGGGAGAGAGAGAGAGAGAGAGAAAGAGAGAGGGATCGATACTTTATTAAGCCTGAGCTCAATAAAAAAAAAGAGCTGATACTCCGTACATGCTCACATGTTGGAAGCTGCTGCCATTGTTTTGGTTTGCTCTCGTGCTCGCCCCCATCCTTACTGGTTGCTATCGGAAATGTTATCAGAATAACCCTAAATGGTTGGAGAAGGCTTTCGAGTGACATCATGTCACAGATATTTTTAGAGTTGAGCCCTCACATTCTCTAACTTTAGTTACAGATGTGGCAGCAGTTCCCAGGGAGCTTGGAACAAACTGCTCAGACCTGGAAGTCAGCCGGCTGTTTTTGGTCATGTTTGTCCCAATAAAGTGGAAACAAATGTGTCATAAGGTTTGTCATACGAAAGGGTGAAAGAAAAGGCATTTACCTTTCAGACAAAGAGTGAATTTGAAAAAAAAAAAAGGTTTCAAAGTAGTACGAAAATGAGTTATTCTGGCTTGAAACACAGTGGGAGCTGAGTGACAGATCTCAGACCAGCTCAAATTAAGAAATGACTTGTTTAACATGTGCGCGCGAGTTTGAAAGGGGCAACGTGGGTGAAATGTGCACATAGAGAATCTGTATTTACGTTTCCATTAAAAACTCTAGCAAAGGGCTGTTAACTTGTCAGTCTACTGAACGTAAATCCGATGTAAGCCGCTGAATTTTTTTGTCCATTCCACTACGGGCCAGTTAGAAGGGAAAGGTTTTAACCGCTGCTCTTATTATTTCATCCTCCAACAGGAGCCCTGACGAAGGTGAAGGAGAGCCAGAAGCACGTGGAGGAGGGCAAGATGGACCGGGCCCAGGCGGAGGGCATCAACGACCGCTGCAACATCATCTCCTTCGCCACGCTGGCCGAGATGCAGCACTTCCACCAGATCCGCGTGCGCGACTTCAGGGCGCAGATGCAGCACTACCTCCAGCAGCAGATCGCCTTCTTCCAGAAGGTCACCGGCAAGCTGGAGGAGGCCCTGCAGAAATACGACAACGCCTAACGGAAGCCCCCCTGGCCTCGCCGCCACTGACCTCGCCGCCTTCCGCGCCTCGGCCAGCGGGCCGCCGCCAGCGCCGCACGCCGCTGACCGCCGGCCAGAAGCTTACGCTTCAGAAACGATGAATTTTCTTTTGATTGTCGGCCGTTTTTAAAAAAAAAATCATTTTTTTTAGACACTGGACGTCCTCGCTGAGGAAGAGAAGACCTTTCTCTGATTAATCGAGACCAATTTTTAAGGCAAATGAGGGCCTAGTTTGTTTGTTTTTTTAAATATCAGACAAATCAGAGAAAAATTACGGTCCTCCACTCGGTTCGGCCCATGAGTGAGTTACATCCAGTCCTGTTCTGACCGACCGGCAGAGAGGGAACCCTGCATTTTCTGCTGCTCACACGTCTGGTAGAAGATTTCCTACATCAAGTGTTTTTTAGCCTTACAGCGCTGTTTTTAAAAGGACTCTCGGAGGTGACCGCCGCTCCGGGAGCAGGGACACTCCTGTGGCCGACGCACTGCCTTCTCCAAACACTCAGCCTCCTCCAGGAACAGTTCCTATCGGACAAACAGGACAGAATGTTTACAGTCTCCTCACTGAGCTGCCACTGTCTCACTGTGCCTTCTGTTTCTCTGCTCTTTTTTTCTTTTTTTGTTAATAACTAACTAAAAGCTTTGTGTACTTTTTATGTTGAAATATATTCTATTTGTTTTTACAAACCATGCAGTCTTAGAATGGAAGGATCACTGCAAAGGCAGTGTTTCGTGGGAAAATATATTATCCGATTGCACCTGTTTTCTAAGTGGCCGTGGGATTGAGGTTTAACAGTGGGACAGCATCAGAATCAGGGATACCTGCTCTAACAGTTACAATCTCCTCTCTGTCCCACGCATGTGCTGATTTAAGCACGCGGAATTTAATGGAGAAGCAGAGTGCCTTGAAAATGTCTTCAAACCCCTTTTGTCGCATTACAGCCACAGACTTGAATGTGTTTCACTTGGGTTTAATCTGATAAGCGTGGCGTTCATTTGTATTCAGCCCCTCGAGTCGGTGCTTCTTCCAACCACCGTTTACAACAAGTACTGCTGCAAGACATTTGGGAAATGTTTAAACCACTTTTGCACATCTAAAGATTGACATTTTTTTGGCCTTTTGTGTTTGCAAAGGAGCTTCAGTTCAGTCAGATTGGACGGATAGTATCTTTTCAAGTCTACAGACCTTGAATGGGCCTTTACTTTAAGCCACTTCTAAGCCATTCCGTTATTGCTCCGGCTGTATATAAAAAAAAGGTCAACTACTGCCGCATTATCTTTCCTCCAGAGGGGAAAAAAAAAAAAAAGCCCACAGCATGATGCTACCCCCGCTGTGTTTCACAGAGAGGATCATGAGTGCAGGGTTGGGTTTCTGTGATTCGCACGTTGTCCAATAAAAGTTCGGCCCATAGCTCTTTAAGGACGTTTAAGGACCGGAATATGTTTTTGTTACCCCACCCTGCCTCAAACCTCTCCCTGGTGTGTTTCATCGTCTGCGTGATGCTGTGTGTTCGCTAATGTCGTCTGACAAAACCTCAGAGGCCTTTGCGCAACAGACGCGTCAAAATAAAAATCCACGTAAACACGGGTGGACCAGGTTGACTTAGCTAACTGGGAACAGTTATCGGAGGGCCGGCTATAACTGAACAACACGCTTTTTTTCCTTTTCTTGGTAAAAACATTTTAAACATCTCGTGTAAATTTCTCTCCACGGTTAAGCATATCTTTGTGTTTTTTCTATTACTTCAAATCCCAACAAAATGCATTCCAGATTAGTGGCTGTAGAAAAAGATTCTAAAGTTGAAGGGGTGTGAATCATTTCTCATGGCTCTGCAGAATTACCAGCCGCCACATGCCTGAATCTGTGCAGGCAAAACGCGGGTTTTTGGGGCTCGGTTTGTGGGCGGGGGCCGGCTGCTGGAGGGTGGAGGGTTCCTCGCTGGTTTTGAATGATGCAGTCATGTTCATAGCACAGTTCTTGACCAGATCAGCTCTACCGATGGTTTTGACCTTTATGATGCGGGTTACATTGTGAAGAGATTCATGTAGAAGCAGAGATGCTAAATAAATTCATTCTCCGCAGAAAGATGCTGGCCTTCTCTGAGTTTTGTTGAAAAAGTGGCTATGAGTCCCCAACGTTCTTGTGCATTAGAGACAGTATCTGTGCTCAGACAAAGCAGCTAATATCGTAAAACGCCAGACATGCTTCAGCCATTATGTCAACTTTGCTCTCCACCACAGGACTTCAGTCTAATTAAAAGGTTTTAAATTCAACCACCATGCAACCTACTTCCTTCCCTACCTAAGATGTTGCAATGCTGTCTAAGTTATTCTGTCTTCTCTTCTGAGCATCACCAAGATACACATTTGCATTTGTAATTGCTTAACGGCTAGTTTGGCACACCTAAATTTAACCTCAAGTAGTCATTAAAATTTAAATGTTTTACACTTGGAAGCTTAATAACATATTCTGGTAAATATAAGTCCTTAGAAATACAACTTAATCATTTGTTTTATAGCGTCAGTTCAGAGCTTGAACCTTTGGAGTTATTTATTATGAGAACAAGTTGGGGATGAACTAAAAGTGCCTCAAACACAAGTCAAATGAGTAGAGGTCAAGAAATGAACGCAGTGTGGCCACTGATCTATTTTACAATGCTAAAAAGAGGAAGACAGCAAGGAGGGTTCTGCAGGTTTCCTGGGCTGTGTCCCTGGAGGACGGGGGCTCGTGCTCTGCTCACAGATCTGCTGACAGCACAGAGCCCGGCCAGCCATCTGGGACATCTGGCCAATGTTAGGAATGCCAGGGTGGATGACAGCGAACAGGAAAAGGTCAAAATAGCAGCTTTTCAGTAGCCATCATCGGTATTTTCGAACCATCTGATCTTAGATTTTCGTTCAGCTCAGAAAGTAAGATCTTTACTATCTTGACATGCATGCATTGTGTAGAAATGCATTGTCTTCACATGATAACAATCCTGTGTGCTAGATATGATGCCGTCCAGGCGGTAACAGCAGCAGGTCAAACCACTGCGGGCTCACAGCAGTGAACGCAGTGAAATATTAGTGATATCATTTCTTCCAAGACCTTCCAGTCTATTGTGTGCAGATAACAGAAAATTCAGCTCATCAAAAGGGTCATAAAGCAAACGTACAGTCTGCTGCCGAAATGTGAAACCGGGGGATGTTTTAGCTCTTTCTAATTGCTCCCATTGTACTCATCCCATCAGAACCAATGCAGTCTCACCCCAAGTGTGCTATTGCTAGGTTGGTCTACACTGTAAAACAGGGCAACTTCACGATTTAAAGTCGATACCTTTATAACCTTTAAAAAAATATCGCCTAAATTGAACTTTTTATGAAGCCATCATAAAACTGCTTTTACGGAATTCAGATATTTCCATAATGCAGAACAGAAACTGAGCTCTACTTGACCCGAGATAAAATCCAACTGACCTCTCCACTTTGCTGTCAGTTATGATTGCTTATGGTTTGGTGTTAAGGCCCACACAAAACAAAGCATTAGCAGTCCAGTAGGGAAAAAAAGCATTATTATTAACAGGACAGCGTGTGTGTGAGGTGTACCATAATATACCATTAAAAAAAAAAACACATCCTGTCATGCTTCAATGAGTTATTCTAATGTGCCGAGTTGTTTAAAAAATTATAGTGACTGGATATAGATTAAAATATTCCTTTTATTCTTGTCAAAAAAAGCTTCCTGAGCAGTTACTGTTGCACACTTCTGGGCAACAGATCAGTTATTAACTTGATGACAACGTGTTCACTTCTCATGAGGCAATTTTGTCCTCACAAAGCCCAGGGAGCCTGTTAAAATTCTACCAAGTTAGTTGTCGTAGAAACAACTGAAACTTGACGAATGTTCACAGAGAGCAATTTCAGCCTTATCTGATTAATCTGAATGAAACCAGTGGCAGAGGAAAGGCCCTCTGCTCTGTTGTGGATACCCGACCGCACATCAGATGAGCTCATCTCTGCTATGTGTGTCCGTTAAATGTTGACTAGCAAGCAAAAATCCAAACTCTTTTAAATGACCAAATGCAGTTCTCTGCCAGATAATGGGCTTTGACCAGGGTGGGTTTCCACCACTTCTCAGTGTTACACTGAGATGAAAATGGCATCATCAAAGTGGCAGTTCCTTAGCCTGTCACTGGCAGCAAAGTGGGGATTAATATCTTGCCTAAAGACCTGTCAAACCCTTGTGACAGACGACCTAAACTGGAGGAAAAAATCAAGTAAGAGAGATAAATCATTCAGAAATATTCACAGTTATTAACTGTCAGAGGACTCCTTTGATTACACAGTAACAGAAAGTGTTCACTCACTGCTACGTTCATGCAACGCTCACCTCAAACCAGCTGATTTGAAGCACATTATGCAACTTTCCATACAGTTTTTTCCTCCTGATTCACAAATATCATGGCGATGGATCTGTTTGTTGGATATTTCTGTCTCAGTCGCCGACCGGCTGCCTCCTGTGAGGCGACACTGCTAATAATAGCTTTGCCCTCAGAAGCTTTTCGCTGTGTCACTTTGCTCTGTGGCTCTCATCTATTCTGCTGCGGCCTGTGCTGCGTTCGTGTTCCGCACAGACTCCGTACGGCTGCCTTTTGAATTCTCACCCCTCCGGTCAAAGTGCTGATACCGCCAGAGCCCGAGGAAATGGGTGCTCCTATTTTCACATTCTTCTTCCTTTCCGCCTGAAGCTGTGGTTGTTCTACATTCTGAACCTGATTGTCGTTGCATGTTTCAGCTGCTCGAGTTGATCGGAAAGGTCAGAATTGACAGCATCTCAGACGCACATATCATATAAAACACAAACTTGATTAATGACATCGGGGAGTTTTTTTAAAAACTATTTTGAAATAGAACAACAACGGATCATTGCCATTCTCAGACTAATGCATTTATAAAAAGTGGAGAAAGGGGTGGGGCGGGGGATGTACTTGCCACGTTCTACCACAAGAAACAGCAACCCCCGAACTCAGACGGACCAGGTTACATTCCACAGACACAGAACAGAA